GGGGCGGCGGCGGGGCCGGCGGCGGGGCGGCGCGGGCGAGGGAGACCGCGGCCGGGCGAGCGGGAGGGCGCTGGGGAGCGCGAGCGAGAGCGCAGAGAAAGGAGCCGGCGAGGGGAGGGAGCCGGCGGGAGGAGGGGACTCGCCGCTCCGCCGCCGCCGCCGCCCGCGCAGCCAAGGGCGCACCGCCACCTGCCGGCCGGCCCCGCGCCCGCCGAGCGAGCGCCTTCCCGGCTCAGGGCCTGGGCCGAGGTCCCGAGGGGCCCCGACCCGCAGAGCCCTTTGCTCCCTTCCTCGTTCCTCCCCTGCGCCCGCCCTCCCTTCGGCCCTCTTCCCTTCCGCCCTCCCTTTCTGCCTGTACTCACTGAGCACCTACTCGGGGCCAGGCACAGTTCCAGGCACTGGGGGCACGGGGGTGAACGAGAGCCAGGCGCCAGGCCCTGGAGCCGACAGCCTGACCAGGGAGACAGACCGCACCCCTGCGAACACCTTTACGGACAAAATAACTCCAGAGAGCCAGAACTAGGACAGAGTGGAAGTGGGGAGGTGTTCTCCTGCACGGGCCTCCGAAGAGCTGACAGTGTAGACAGCACCTAGGGGACTCTCTAGGCACTGCAAAGGCCCTGAGGCTGCCCCCAGCACAACCTACTCGTGGGCAGCCACGCCTGTGCTCTAGGCTGTGCAAGTGTAGTTTCCAACCCCAGAGGCCACCAACCTGGCAGCCTTTGAACGTGAGGACAGGCACCTGGGTGCGGAAGCATTTAGAGGGGTGTGGGGGCAAGGTCCCATCCAGGGCACAGCCTGACAGGCCACAGCAGAGAGCCAGAGCCGAGGAAACTGAGGCTCAGAGCCCAGGAAGTCCCTGCCCCAGGTCATGGGCTACTTTAGGTAGATTTCAATAGAACTTTGTTGAGCTCCCACCATGTGCTCCGCATTGGCCTGAGGGAAAATGGGAGGACAGGAGGGGGCGCTTCACTGAGGCCAGGCCAGCTTTGCATCCTCAGCTGGCCTGGCGGGGCGTCGGGGGCAGCCTGCCTCCATCCTTCCCCCAGAGGCCTCTGCATTAGGTAAAAATCCGCAGGCCCAGGGTCTCTGTCATACCTGCCTCCCAGCTGGGTATATTCGCTCCAAAGAGAGAGAGAGAGAAAGCCAAATGGGGCAAAGGAGCAAAGCCTCAAACATTTGGGAAGGGTAGAGAGTGTGGGGGATTCCCTCTGACCCCCAAGAGGAGAAGCACCCAGCACCCTGTCTTCTGCTGCTGGCTCACCCTACCCCCCAGGCTCAACCGGAAGTCATATTCCATGACAGATAGCATCCCTGGGGCCCCTGCTGTCTGTGCCCAGGCTTGGGGGCGGGATGCGGGGGTGGGGGGGTGGCCAGATGTCTAAGAAGTCTCCTCCCCCGGAATGTGCCCTGGCCCTCCCCCTCGGTGGTGTAAATTCCCAACCTGTCAGACAAAATCTCCAGCTCAGGCCCAGGGTCGGGAAGGGAAGCAGGGGCCATCAGCTGTGGGAACCTGTGCTCTGGCACAGGGAGCAGAGGGGAGCAGGCCCCGGTCAGTGCAGGGCTGAGGGAGGCGAGCCGGGGAGCCGGGCAAACAGGGGCCCAGGAAGGAGCTTCCAAGTAAAGCATACAGCAGATCGTGGCTGGCGGGGAAGGCAGGGCCAGCACTCAGAAAAGACGCAACCCAGCTTCGACCCTGTGCCCCAACGGGCCTTCCCAACACCCCAGTCTCCATCCTCCCCTCCCAAGCTGTAAAGTAATGCAGCCGCATAGGCTCTGAGCTCTCTCCAGGTCTGTTCACTTGTCTTAATAAAAGGGAGCCCCTAAACATTGTCCTCAAGAAAAATTGACCGTGACACGTGACTGAGCACCTACTCTGGGCTGGACACTGTCCCAGGGGCCTACTCTCAAGGGCAGGGGGTGACGCTGCAGGTTACTGTATGTAATTCTCACGACCAGGCTGTGGGGTGCATGCGATGGTCCCCTTTCCACAGTTGAGGAAACAGACTGTCTGAGTTCCCCAGGCCAGAGCAGGTCAGAGACCAGGTTTCAGCCCAGGTTTTCTGGCCCCACGGTGGCGTCCTTCCCACGGCCCCACGTTACCTGTGGTCTGGGGGCTGGGCTCACAGGCATGCTGCCCCTCGGAGGCTCAGACGGAGCCTCTCCACCACGGGCACATCACCACCACCACCCCAGGCTCAAACTGAGGCCCACATTATTGGTGACTTGGTGAAGGTCCATGACGGAGTGGGGGAGGGTCCAGACCTGGAATGCGGGTGGAGGGGCGGATGCCTCACCTGTGCTTTTTCCAGAACAGTCGGCAGGCTGCCTCTGTCTGCCCTGATAAGGCTGCAGGGCTTGCAAAAGAGCAGGACTGATTCATCCCTTCTCTGAATCCAAAGCTCAGAGACGTGGTGACTCCCCGAGGTCACTCAGCTCCTGAACATTGCGGGACGCAGGGACACAGTGATGAAGGAGACAGAGTTCCCCGGGTGGGTGAGGAGCTCTGTCCTCGTGCAGACAGGTCCTGAGGAAAGCTCATTTCAGACAGGAGTGAGGACCCCGGAGAAAATAAGGTAGTCACCACATGGAGGTGAGGGGGTCACTAAGGGGCCGGGTAACTTTGAGCTAGTGGAAGGGGAGGAGGAGTGGGAAGAGCTGTCCCAGTGGGGGTTGGAGCATGAGAGCCACCATCCCCCCCCCCCAAGACGGTGCAGCCGCTCAGGGAAGGCGGGCAGCGGGCCTGATTTGTATTCACAGACTGGTGCACAGTCGCTGGAGGGTTTAAGCAGGGGAGTGAGACCAGCGACATTTCAGAGCCATCTCTCCAGCCCGGGTGAGGACCAGTGCAGGACGCCACTTAGGAGGCTCCTGTCCAGCTCGAGAGAGGCCTTGGTGGCTGGGCCCGGGCAGGCAGCGAGGGACTTGGGGAGGACTGAGGGAAGCCCACTTCCAGCACCTGCTGGGCCCCTGCGCTCACGCTCACTAGCGACCAAGGCAGGGACTCAGGCGACTTGCGAGCAGGAAGTAAGGAGAGCAGGTGGCAGTCAGGCATCCCGCTGGAGAGAAGCCTGGGGAGACCACAGGAGCAGCATCTGTGCTGCCCCCAGGGCGGCGTGGTAGTGAGCCCTGGCGGAGGCCCCGGGTACGCGGATGCTTGGGTCCGGCGTCCGTGCTCCGGGTGCACGGGGTAATATCAAACATGCTCCAGGGTTGTAACCTCTGATTATTCACAACAGGAACATCCTAAGATGGGGAAAGCAGCCCCAGCCACCTCCCTCGCTGCCTCCTCGTTCTAGGCTCCACGTGGGGCACTGGGCTCCAGACCCCATCACGCCTCCCCTGCTCGTGGGGAGCCCACAGTGCGACAGGGGAGACACACGGTAGGCAGTGCCGTGGGGGAGGCAGGTGCTCAGAGAGAACTGCTTGGCTCCCTACGGCAGAGGGAGCCCCCGTCTGGGGCTGAGGGAGGAAGGCTGCTCAGAGGGGACACCCTTCAACTGATCCTCCAGGAAGCAGTAATGAAAATAAATGGGATTAGGACTTGAGCCTACTCTGGATTGTTCTAGAAGGAAGACCTCATTGAACCTCACATCCATCTAGTACCTATATAGCATCTACACACAGACTGGGCACTATTTTCCCCATTTTGAAGATGAAGGTGAAGGCACACTGGGGTTCAGTAATTTATCCGAAGGATTCAAAGGGACACGTCCCCATGTGCCAGCTGGGTGTCCTACGGGAGACCCGTCCCCTCCCTGTTTCTGTAATCGCCCCACCAGCACTGCCCGGACTCGGTGGTTCTCTGCAGGGCGTCCCTGGACCAGCAGCATCAGCGTTAATGGGAACTGGTTAGAAATGCCGATTCCTGGGCCCCACCCCAGACCCGCCGAGCCAGAAACTCAGCGATGGGGCCTCAGGATCTGTGTTTCAATGCGCCCCATGGTGGTTCTGACATGCCCCCAAGTTCAAGAGCCACTGTGCTAACCCAGTGGTTCTGGGCCTGGGCTCCTGGGAGAACCACGTGGGAGAACTTTAGAAAAATGCCAATGACCTCTTGACCTCCCCCAAACTTGCTGGGCAGTTCCATGAGCAGCAAGCATGAGCCACTGACCCCGCACAGCTTTTTATAAGGATCCTTGAAAGACTAGATGCCAAGTGCCTGGCACATGGTCGGACCCACAAAACGGAGATTTCCCTGACTGGTGAGTGGGGGTCCCACTGAGCCCCAGTCCAAACCTTTTAGCTTCAAGATCCAGACTGGCTTCCTCATCCCACAGCAATGTCCCCCACCCAAAAAGGAGGAGAAATACTTCTCTCCAACTTTTAATCAGACCACTTACTCATTAAAAGTCTCAGGCTTTTTTAAATTATTGAAGGTCTCTAGTGATAATATTTTAATTTATCTTTATGAATGTGACAAAGCTCAGCTTGTGCAATTGCCCACACGGGCACGATTCAGAGATGGTCAAGGAATCCATGAGCGACGCTCTCGGGGATGCTGCGGGAGCCAGCAGGGAGAGACTGAGGGGACAGGTGGTTAGGGTGCCAGACTGTACAGAGGGGAGCCTCTCATCTGCACTGTGCCCCTGGCCTGGCCTCCAGCAAAACTAAGAAGTCTGCACCTGCTTGGTGGGGGGTGGGGAAACTGCCGGTGGGGGGGGAGGGGGCCTGCCAGATGTAGGGAGAGCTGCCAGGTGCAGGGGGGCTGCCAGGTGAGGAGAGGAAGCCGCAGGGGTGGGGGGTGGGGGACCCGTCAGATGGAGGGGGAAAGCCACCAGGTTAGGAAGGGAGGGCTGTTAGGTGTGGAGGGACCTGGGGGGGTGCTGCCAGATGTTGGGGGAAAGCTGCCGGGACAGGGGTAAGCTGCAGGGTGGGGGTAGGGAAGCTGCCAGGTGCGGGGCGGCGGCGGGGAGGGTGGG